CTTTGCAAAATTGGGAGCAGAAGGGATATGTACAGGAGGGAAGTGCAAGATAGCTACAGAATGAATTATAAAGAAAGCAAGTCGTTTTGCTGCTCACCAGCCTCCCTCTCCTGCACTTGCCCACCTCAATGCCCTGCCCTGGTCCTTGAGGAAGTAAATATGAGTTTGAACAGAGAAAGTACCTTTCCACCTGGCCAAAGGGTTTTTTGAAGGACATGCTGCAACTGCAAAGTGTCTTAACGACCTCTTTCTTTGAGTGACTCTAGAGTTTTTACTCACTGAGAAATCTTGTCCTCTAAAAGCAGAGACTATGAAACACTCCAGTGTTTAAAATTAGAATGTAAGAGGGCAGGCGTGCTGGCCTTTGAGGGGCCGAGGTGGGAGGATGGCTTGAGGCAAGAACTTCGAGACCCGTCTGGGAACAAAGCAAAACCCCATCTCTAAAAAAATTATATCATAAAAATGAACATCCTACTCTTGCCTGTAAGTCACTTTGACACAGAAACAGCCTCATTATATAACCCAGCTGCAGAACTTTAGATAGGAGTCGCTGGAACCATTTCACATCTAAACTGTGCTTTCTAATGAAACAAGACCTTGGGTCCATTTTGCAATCCAGACCTGGAGTCGATCTCTTTTCACAGAGCCTCGCTTTGCTTGGAGCCTGTCAAGAAAACGCTTCATCTCCATATCCGATAATAATTCTCTTTTCCTTTGATCAGGTGACCCCTGGGTCCCCTGGTATGCAATATTCATCATGGCAATAGGACAAAAGACCTGACTTTGTTGGACCTCAGGTTTATTTTGTTGCCTCAGGCTGATTAGGAGACCTTTTGGCTTCATCCTCTTGCTGTGGGGTTTTCTGTCCCTCACCCCTCAGAGGACTTGCGTAGGATGCCAGCTGGCCCTGAGGCCTTTGCCACATTGATACAAGGCTGAGAGTCAAGATCTGTCATGCCAAGTCAAGGGAATGTGTAAAATGGGACACTGGAACTCAGCAGCAGCTGGTCCTGCTGTCCTGCTGGGTGTACCCCCAGCCACCAGAGGACCCAAATGGTCTGCTCTGGAGTTTTTCCAGCAATCATCAAAAACTCCCTTCAGAGTCTCTATTCTAGTCTGTATGTCCATGTGTACACATTTTTTAGCACCCACATATGAGTGAGAACACTCAGCTTTTGCCTACTTTTAAATGGGATTGTTTTTGTTTTGTTTGAGTTGTTTGAGTTTCTTATATATTTTGGACATTAGTACTGTCAGATGAATAGTTCACAAATATTTTCTCCCATTCTACAGTTTTTTTCCTCCATTTTGTTGATTATTTCTTTTGCTGTGCAGAAACATTCTAGTTTTATGAAGTCTTATTTGTCTATTTTGTTTTTTGTTGCCTGTGTTTTGATGCATGACCCAAACATGTTTGAAGGTTACAAACCAGCTTATGTGGTAGAATGTCCCTCAATTTGGCTTTACCTGATATTTCCTTGTAGTTAAATTCAGCAAGAATATCACACAAGTGAGGCTTTATTCTTCTTATCAGATATTCTCAGGTGGTGAACGATTTCAACTTGTTCGATTACTGACAATCTCACTTTCCTCACTTGATTCAGGGGTGTCTTCTAGGCTTCTCTACTATAAAGTTAATTTCCTTTGGTAATTAGTAGTATATTTTAGGAAGGTAACTATGAAAATATGTAAATATTATATTGTCCATTAACAAATTAACTAATATAAATGTATTAGTCAGCTAGGGTTACCACAAAAAACCATAGATGTCCCTGACCTGTAGAGTAGCATCTGGTTGGTGGTGCCCATCTCATACCACTGTATAAATAACCCAGTCTTGGGTGTGTCTTTATCAGAAGCATGAAATGGACTAATACAGTAAATTGATACCAGTAGAGTGGGGTGCTGTTAAAAAGATACCTGAAAATGTGGAAGCGACTTTGGAACTGGGTAACACTTTGGATGAAAAAAATATTTCATTATGGGATTGTGTGACAGGTACACAATTGTATAAATGTAGTAAAAATTATCACACTGCATGCTTACATAAAATTCAATGAGTGAATTTAATAAATTATACTTCAATAAAAAATTTAAGAACTCAAGCACAAACAGCAAGGATCTCTCACCTATAAAGGAAGCAATATAAAGACCAAAACTCATCATAAAAATATTTCCAAACTCCTCAATTCACTTCTGTTAAGGAAGACGGTACATTTAGAAGAGAAGAATTATTAGAGTCTGATAGTTTAATCTACTCCTCCTAGCAAAATTCCAACTACTTCACCCATCCATTCAGAAATTCAATCATTAAACTTGTCTAACACCAAAGAAGGAAGATGCTGTTGCTGAAGATCCACCAAAAGAATTGATTTACTCTGTGTGGCAGAGACTGCCAGCTGTCCCACACTATAGAATTTGCTTCTTCTTTTCTATTAATGAAAATTTTAGCTGAATGTATGGCTGCTCAGAATGAGAAACGCAGTTTCAGCCTTTCTTGCAGCTAGGTGTGACAATGTGACTAAATTTTGGCCAATGTACGTGACCACAGTGAGGTATGTAAAACATACTCTTAAAGGGTGGAGGCCTGTCCTCCCTTTCCCCATGCCTTCTGGCTGGAGCCATCTTGTATGATAAGATGGCAGAACAAAAAGACAGAAGGAGTCTGGGCCCCTGACAAATTAATAGAGAGCAAATACCATATAATTCCAGGTTTTTCCATGAGAAAGAAAGAAAAGTCTGTTGTGTGTAATCTGTTAGTTTTGGTGTCTGTAACATGCAGCAGAAACTATATCTTACAACAAGAATACAATCTGCTGGGACTAATTTGTCAATCCAGGTTCCATTGAGTATGGGCAGTTGTGGGCAGTGTGTGTCAGAAAGAGTGGTCTGAATAACCGCCCACACTCAATGACAGAAAGATTAAACATTCGGAAAGATTGAAAGAATTGTGAGGAAGATGCAAAGGAGGGAGAAAGGAAGAAAGGCAGAAAGAGGAGAGAGAGAACAAGAGAGACAGGCTGACATTTCTATGTACCCCTGACAGCTGTAGCATTTTTCTGCCGAGCAACAAGGAGCCCAGTATCAACATAGAGAAGACGGCTGTGATTGGCAAACCTCTCTTTCTTCATGCAAGGGTCCAATGTGAGAAATGCCAGGAACTACTGAAACAATTCTGCTAGTGGGATGGGGAGGCTCTTTTGAGTTTCTGGTTCCAGATCTGAGCCCAAAGCTCATGTAAAATCTCCTTTGAAGAGGGTGTGAACAATTACAGGACAGGCCACTTCGGTGTCAAAGGATGACCCTAAGAGACTGGCTGGAAAAGAGAGGAAGCAAGTTTCTTACTGATGGAAAATGCAAAAGGCAGGAAATTATTCTGAAATTAGTTTGCCCCAAACTATGCCAATGGTGAAGAAGAAAGGTCATAAACATATGTGAGCAAAGGCAAATCAACAGAGACAAAGACTGGGGATGGGCATGGTGGCTCAGACAATCCCAGCACTTTGGGAGGCCAAGGCAGGAGAGTTGCTTGAGTCTCGGAGTTCAAGATCAGCCTGGGTGATATAGTGAGACCTCATCTCTACAAAAAAAAAAAAAAAAAAAAAAAAAAAAAAAGAAAGAAAGAAAAGAAAAGAAAGAAAGAGTCACATTCTGTTTTACTTATTTCCCCAAACTCTATAATTTTTCTAAACATATTAGGGTTGGGGGAAACTAAAGCTGGAGAAAGTGCAGGAAATTTATGTGTTTGATCCCATCCAACCTCTCACCCTAGGTAAAGAAGTGCCAAATTGGCCGGGCGCAGTGGCTCAAGCCTGCAATCCCAGCACTTTGGGCGGCCGAGGCGGGTGGATCACGAGGTCGAGAGATCGAGACCATCCTGGTCAACATGGTGAAACCCCGTCTCTACTAAAAATACAAAAAATTAGCTGCGCATGGTGGCACGTGCCTGTAATCTCAGCTACTCAGGAGGCTGAGGCAGGAGAATTGCCTGAACCCAGGAGGCGGAGGTTGCGGTGAGCCGAGATGGCGCCATTGCACTCCAGCCTGGGTAACAAGAGAGAAACTCCGTCTCAAAAAAAAAAAGAAGTGCCAAATTGGCTATCTACTCGAATGGAAGAAGGGGAAATAGAAAAACAGGGAGGAATAAAAAAAAGTGTAAATTATTATCTCAAAATATTACCTAGCCAGTTTCCCCTTGGTAAATTTTTGTGTATTCATAAAGTTTATTTTTGACCTTTGTTCAACCCTCTCAACAGCATAATGTCTGAGTTTTGCATTTTTCAAGGTAGTAGACATCGTGACTGATTTTCCAACATCCCATCTGTTCCATGATTAATCTAAGCAATTCATGGCAATTTACCTCTTTGTCAGGGGTGGACAGCATAAACCAATTTGGGCCAATGAGATTCAAGGAGACACATAATGAGGGCTCTAGGAAAGAAACTTCTTCAATCTTGAATGCTGTGGAAAGGCGGGCTCTTTCTTCTTCTGTAAGTTGTGAATGAGGAAGTGTAGAGTTCCCATTGCCTGGCAGTCACACCACAGCAGCAAAGGGTAAAGCCAAAACTGTGGGCAGCAGAACAAAGAAGTAGAAAGAGACTACCACGTCGATGCCATCATTCAGCCACTGGGCCCTGCCCTCACTCCTCACTGTCTAAGCCAATGTGAGTTGGCTTTTCTGTTACTTGTTGTTCACTGCATTCTGTCTGATTTAGAATTTGGTGCCCGGAACAGAAGTGCTGCAAATAACAAACCATAGTGAGCTGCACGCTAGCTCCCCAAAGATCTATCTACAAGCTAAACTGTGGAACCCGCGAGTGCTACCTCATTTGGAAAGAGTCTTTGTAGGTATTGTATTATTTCAGATGTTGAAGAGACCCAAATGAAAGATATTTTAGTTAAAAAATTCACACTTGACCTTTATTATATGACCATTTATCAAGATCAAGAAAAGTATTTTCAACAGAACTTCATAGACGCAGGAGTTTAAGTTATTTTTTTTTTATTTAAATTAGTTCAGTGACTTATTTGACAATGTTACTAACTTCAGAAATTGATTTTTCTGTAACGAAAAAGAATCCTGGTCTGGTAGCCTGAACATGTAATTGGTGTCCTTGTCTTAGTCACTAAGCTGGGATCTTAGGCAGGTCACCCTCCCCTCTGAGTGTCAGCTACTTCTGTGGAACTTCTGGTGGCTCCCGATTGCCCAGGTGCCTCAGAATCGTCTAGGTCCTTGTTACAGGCACATATTTCTGGGTCTTCTCTCAGTCCTACCGAATCAGATTTTCTAATACTGGTGCAGGAGTCTGTATTTTTAGTTAACTGGGTGTTTACAAGGTACAGCCAAGTTTGTGAAGTATTGGATGAAGACTTCCAGGGTCCTTCCTAGCTCTAAAAATTTGTATTCTGATTTCTATTCCTTCTATCACTGTTTGTCCTAACTCTGCTACTAGATGTTGTGCTAAAACAAAGCAAAGCAAAACACGAAATAAACAATAAAAAACCAAGACCATGGTTTAATCATCTTTATATTCCCCCAGCACCTACAAAGTGCCTGGTAGGTAGTAGGCATTCAATAAATATTTGAAAAATTACTCAATGATGGTTAAATAAATGAATGTTATTTCATGTGGATCCCAATCACCTATAGATAGAAGAATCTAAAAAGAGAGAAAATATCTTAAACTTTTGTCTGATGTAATCTTGCACGCCCTATCCGCCCTCTTAGGTACTTCATTCACATAACACATAATGGGTTATGTGAATGAAGTTGTGCATACTGAGGGACCCAGTAGGAAGATGGTTAGATTCTCTTGGGGGCTAGATTATCCCACAGTATTTCTCAGTGGCAGTGATAACTGAAAGGAGATCATGATTCAGCAGGAGCTGGTTTTCTCCATGACTTTTCCAAGACCAGAAGAAGCCATATCCCGACTGGGTGGCAGACGTCCTCGGAGCCATTGCTGCAGATCACTGAACCTGCAAAAAGGCCGCCTCAGGTTTCTGTGGGGCCCCAGAGGGTGGGAAGAGGCATTCATCTTCTGTTAGAAGTTACTGGTAAATTTGACAGCAGTGGGTGTCAGCTGAGCCAAGTGTCCTTTGCAGCCAATGCCCCCAGGATATCCGATACCACCGTTGGTGACCCTAAAGTCCTTTCTCCCCCTCTTTTATGCTCCACTGATCTATTGAGCCTCCCCAGTTTAGACACTGTCTGCTGGCCTTGGAAGGTACCGGCTCAGGATGAAATCTGTCACAGGGGTGGGCAGCTTAGCCAGGGGGAGGTACAGGAGTTTGGCATCCAGGCCAGGGTTGTAGCGGATGCGAGGGCTCCGGGAAACAACAGCATGCTCCATGCTGTTGATGACATCTCCGACTCTGGGCTCTGCCAGCTGCATCATGTTTTTCAATTTGTCGGTATCTGTTTGAGGGCACAGAGGAGAAAAAGGCTCTGTTATTTTTCATAAAAGATGGTTTCTTCTGAATTCCATTCAACTTCCCTTTCCATCAGATCCCTGATCTAACATTTCGGGCAGGTCTGCCACACCCTCCGGGTGGTTCCTTAAACTAACACACATTTATAAGGTAATTATAAATGATCTTAGCCTGGCCAACGTGGTGAAATCCCATCTCTACTAAAAATACAAAAAGCAGCTGAGTGTGGTGGCACATGCCTGTAATCCCGGCTACTTGGGAGGCTGAGATACGGGAATCACTTGAACCCAGGAGGCAGAGGTTGTAGTGAGCCAAGATGGCACCAGTGAATTCCAGCCTGGGGGACAGAATGATATGCTGTCTCAAAATAAAATAAATACATAAATAAATAATTAATCTTATTTCTCTTCCTGAATTCAATGATTGTGCACTGAATTCCTGCTATTGCACTAGACTATTGATGAGAAGAACAGTGCCACTGATTAGTTATACGACCTTGAGCTTCAACTTTTTCCTGTAAAATGGAGATAATACTATCTTTCCTGAAGATTGGCCACGGTGGCTCATGTCTGCAATCCTAGTCCTTTGGGAGGCTGAGGCGGGCCAATCATCTGAAGTCAGGAGTTCTAGACCAGCCTGGCCAACATGGTAAAACTTCATCTCTACTAAAAATACAAAAATTAGCCAGGCGTGGTGGTGTGGTGGCATGTGCCTGTAATCACAGCTAACCGGGAGACTGAGGCCTGAGAATCACTCCTGGGAGGAGGAGGAGGTTGCTGTGAGCCAAAATTGCTCCACTGCATTCCAGCCTGGGCAACAGAGTGAGACTCCATCTTCCCCCCTACCGAAAAAAAATCTGTCCTGGAAAATAACAAAGATGATTAATAGCAGGGTGGACACTGGGGGAGTACAGAATAGAAAACATGGTGGGACAAGGGGCTTTTTTTTTTTTTTTTCCTTCTATGTACTTCCTAAAGTTCCCATATTTAGGCCGGGCGCAGTGGTTCAAGCCTATAATCCCAGCACTTTGGGAGGCCAAAGTGGATCACGAGGTCAAGAGATCGAGACCATCCTGGTCAACATGGTGAAACCCCGTCTCTACTAAAAATACAAAAAATTAGCTGGGCATGGTGGCACATGCCTGTAATCCCAGCTACTCAGGAGGCTGAGGCAGGAGAATTGCCTGAACCCAGGAGGCGGAGGTTGCGGTGAGCCGAGATCGCGCCATTGCACTCCAGCCTGGGTAACCAGAGTGAAACTCCGTCTCAAAAAAAAAAAAAAAAAAAGTTCCCATATTTAAACAAAAGAATCCAGGAGAAAATATTGTTAAAAAATAGTAATTTTCCCCTACCTCAGTCATAAGACCATTGTGGACTCAAATAATCTAAGGCATAGAGAAGCACCTGGTAGGGCCCTAACAAATGTGAGGGGCTGTTCTGTTTGCACTGGCACACAGGGGTGAAGATGGGGACAGAGCACCCGAGTGGTGTAAGTCAGCGGAAGCTCATGACATAACTAGGAGAAGGGCCACACCACACAGCCACCAGGCCCTCACCTGTACCCTCGCCCCAGGACAGGGCGATTCATGCTTCATGGAGAGCCCTGAGGACTCCAGAGAAAATGGTGCTTCAGCAGGACTGCCCTGATAAGGGATGAAAACTTGAAAATAGAGAGGAAGCCAAAGCTGCCCTGACTTTGAGAGTGGTCCGCGGCAGGCAAGGAATTGACCTGCTTGGGCTCAGGACCCTTGAGGGTAGCTGGTGAGAATGGGGGGGTGTCACTTAAGTCCCCTTCACCCCAGACTCTGAGAAACTCCATTTTCTGTTTCCTGGAAAGAAAGCAAGAGTCACATAAACTTAAAGCCAGACTGTCTGCGAAGCAGTGAAGTCTTAGGAAGGCACACCCTGCCCTCTGACCATGGAGCTGGCACAGAGGCCACCAGCAGCAGGGCTGAGGGTGGAAGGAACCGTTCAGGATGCCCAGGGGGCTGTGTCTGCCCACTTGGAGCCAGGGAAGCCTTTGCGGGCTGAGGAGGCGGAGCAAGCTGACATGATGAGATGTGCTGGGGTCTGGGTTCTGAGAGGTGAGGAGGGCTAGCACAGGCAGTGGGGTGGAAGAAGGTACCCCAGACATGGGAAGCAGTATGAGGTACATGCTTTCATCATTTTCTCAATTAGCTATTAGCTGCCATTCAGCACTGGGCACCCTGCTGGGCATGGAGTGGGAAGGGAGAGGGAAGGACACATCCAGCTCCGTCACTGTCCTCCACAGTGAGGAAGGACATAGGCTTTGGAGTTGGGCACCTGGGAAAACATTTTGTTATGGGGAGAATTAAGTAAGATAAAGTCTATAAAGTATCAGGTCTGGTCCTGGGGCTTACAAGCCAGGGGCCTGTCTGATTGCACAGCAACTTGCTGAGTTGGTACCCAGTGATGCTCCATGACAACTCCTAAATATTTCTTCAGTCTATTGCACAGCTGTCCCCAACCACCAGAACCACCATGACTTAGAACTTCATGTTTTTATTGCTCTATCACTGGGTTTCTGCAGTAGTCTCCCAGGTGGCCTCTTTATCCTTCCCATCATAACACAAATCTGACCTGTCACTTCAGAGCCATTTACAAGGTCCCCAATGCCCTCAGGATAAAATCCACACTCCTTAGGATAGCCATCAAAGCCTCTTATGATCTGACTCCTAAGGTCTCCCCTCCTCAATCACCACCCACAGCACTCCTCCTGCCAGACTGTAATGGCAATGGCAAAGGTTTGTTTGGTTCTTACTGTGGCAGAGCTGAGTACTTTGCATTTCTGTTTAATTCTCCTAACAATCCATGAGAGAGGAATTGTACTTTATAAATGGATGAACTGGTTGGGAGAGCTGTGTAACAAGATTAGAGGGACTGCTGGAGTGCAAGCTTGAATCTGCACTGCCCCCAAAAGCATACAATGCGATGTCAGGTCTCCAACATGTGGTTCACACCCTTCCTCTTGTGTGAAACATCCGCCTCCTCTTTCCCTTTTGGTGTACTCGTATTCATCCTTCAAAACTCACTAAGGCATTAACTGTCACCTCTGTGAGGCTTCTGTTGTGGAATGAAGTCTGCGCTGTTGCTGTGCTTTGTACGCATGTCCATTATTGCAAGATTCTTCATGCAGTGGTGTATTTGCTTTCACATCTTCCCTGCTAGTTTCCTGGAGACTGTCTCATCTCTGTATCCCAATGAACACTGGGTAATGGAAGCGAAAACTCTCATAATAACCACTTTGGGAAAACGTTTATCTAAATGTAGTTGATCACTGCCTGAAAACTTTCCTCTGAAATGTTGGTGTGGACTACGGGTGAATTGGCCTATGATATTTTATAAACCTAATCCTTACTATTCTTTAATATAACAACCAGCTTTTGGACAAGGTTTTCAGAGGGGTTTGCCTTTATACATATGCTTTCATGGACCGCACTAAAGACTCTATAAGCTCTCTTCCCCCTGAGTGCTTACTTAGAAAATGACTCTGTGAAGTTTCTAGATACTGGCTGAATCCATTTCGCCCAGCCTCAGGGCAGCTCCACAAATAATTGAAACTACTCTTTGCTAAGAGAGATCACACAGAGGATAAATATTCTTCCCCCCGTACTTTAACATCTACTCTCCTTCTTCCCAACAGCTGCAGATTTCCCTTTGGGGACCTATGCCTCCCCCACAATGAGTCTGTTGGTCTGGGCAGAGCACGTGGCCCAGGCTGCACCACACTTTCACATTCCTCTGGGCACAGTGATTGGTTTAGGCTTGGGTACATGTTGTGGTTGCCTATGATTCGGCTACCATAGGTCCTCCAAGTCAGAGTGTACATTAGGACTTTTGAGAGAGGCACTGGAATGAACTCTCCTATTTTCCCAGCAGACCTCACCCTGGGTGGAGGCGAAGAGATGCTGCAGCCATGTGGCCCCCATAGGGCAGAGAGCTTATAGACTGGAGTCAATGCAAAGAAGCAGAGCCAAGAAATGGATGAATCCTAACAAGATTATTTGTGGGCTGGGATGGGTTGTACCTGAAGCTTATCGTGCTCAACTTTTTAGTCAGGTGAGGCAAGAAATTCCTTTTCTGCTTAAATAATTTGCATTGGATCTTCTGTCACTGAGTAAGTCCCAACTAATATAAATCCTTAGACATTTTCTTCTCAGAGAATCCTAACATATCTAGCACTAAAAGATGACTTTATTTAAGGGGTACTCCAAATTTTTCCTGGAGGCTTCCCAAAATCAATGAATGAATGACTCCTGCATCCGCCAGGTTCTTCAAGCTGTAAACCTGGCACTCATCCTTGACGGCTTCCTCTCCCTCACCCCTTCATCCTCAGTGTGCTTTGATGCTCTAATTTATTCTGTATACACCAGCTACCCACCATTGCTCCCCACCTGCCGGATTCTTTGAAGTTCCACAAATGGAGTTTTCTGCCTCAGAGCCTTCTTGCAAAAAAAAAAAAAAGTCCCTACCCATCTCCTTTTTCCCCTTCCCAGCAACATCTAACTCTTATTCCTCTTCAAAGTCAACTCAGAGAAGCTCCCAACTTCACCGTCATCTGAATTGGGGTACAACTTCCCACTCCATTCTTTTTTCACATCCCTCCTTCTCCTCTGTAGCACATATCCACGTTTACCATGAAACACATGTGTTTTGATTAATGTTTGCCTCTCCTACTGAGTCCTAAGCTACAGTCAGTGAGGGCCAAGCATACCACTTTGTCCACTCCAGCTCTCCGGCCCCACACATGCTTGGGACATGGCAGCCTTACAATAAAGCATGTATATATTCAGTGAAAAAATGTCTGTCTTGGCTTTGTGTTCTGTTGACGTATGATGTCCAGCAGACAATCTTTTGCAGCACAAAGTTTTGGGGCAGCAGGATAAACAGCTGCCATATCCCCTCTACCCTCCAAAAACAGCTATGATTCACAGGAGACCCTCAGCTCAGTGAGAGAAAGAGAGCTGCCTAGGACCCTCCCTTTTAAATTCCCATGTGCTCGTTTTCTTCTTCATTAACAAGCACTCAGAGTGTGCAAGGTACTTGACACACGCTAACCCTCACAGCAAGCCCATGAGGGAGGCACTATCTTTGGCTCCATTTTGTAAATGAGAAAACCGAGGCATGGGAACACTAGGTAATAGGTCCAAAGTCTCCTAGCTGGTAAGTAGTAGAGCCAGCTCTTGATCTTTTGGTTGTATTTATCTCAGTGCATTTTCACCTGATTCCCCTGCATCATGATGCTGTGGGGGGTAGGTGCCAGGAGTGGGCCACATTGCTCTTAGCTTCCTGCACTGCTCCAGCAGTGATAATTCTGCCACTCGCTCTCTATTCTCAAACCCCAGCTCCACTATGTGACCTGGAGTCCTGAACTCCTCTGAGTTTTGTCTCACCATCTATAAATGGAAAGCCAGCCAGTGACCCCAAGACCAACCCGCTCCCCTCAGAGACCCTCTCCAGCCCCAGGAACTTACAGATGCAGAAGTACTCCTCTCCATAGCTGTCCCGGGTCTCCTGAGGTAGCCTCTCCCAAAGTTTTCGCAGGCGTGACTCCATGCCCTCCTTGCCCAGAATGGCTGTCCGGTAGTTCCCCGGCTCAATGATGCTGACCTTCACTCCAAAGTAGTAGAGCTCACGCCTGGGAAAGATGAGTTGCCCTCAGTCTGGGCCCCGAGATGACAATCGTCATGGAGAGTCACCTCTGGATAGGCTTGTCTTTCAGGAACCCAGAGGTGCTTCCCCCACCCCTGCACTTGGCCCTGGCTTTGTCGTTTTGCAAATAAGCCCCTCCTTAGGCCCTCAACCCTTTCCCAAGCTGGCTTAGCAATTTCTGGGCAATTTGCTTGAGGCATGGCCAGTGGGAAGAAGGCAATAGAGAATCTAGGCCAAAGTCTGTTCTCCCACCAGGTCCCTCCCATTATCAGCCCTTCACCCAGCACCCACATGATGAAGGGCGTGGGTCTACACAAGGCCTGCATGCTCCTCTGAGGACCTCCCAGAGGTCACCTCTGCCTCCAGGACTGTCTGTCTGTTTGGGGGACTCTCCCTCCTCCTCTCACAGGCCCAAACAGGGTTTTACTTACCCTGTGCCACTCAAGGGAAGGCCCACCTGATGCCGCATAATTCCACTTTACCTCTCCTCCTCAGCTCCTCTCTTAGTCTTGGAGAAAACACCTTGAAGTCTAACCTTCCTTCTGCTATCGTGTTAGCTTCTTGTCTGCAGAATTCCCCTGCCCACATGCTGTCACTCCCAACCCTCTCTGACCCTTGGGATTTCCACCCGGAATGGTTTAGTACCAAGGCCCAGTTACCTAATGCTGTCAGAGAAGGCTTCGACGCCAAACTTGGAGACACAGTAGCCACCACCGATGATAGCCACACGACCACCAGAGCTGGACATGTTGACAATCCTGCCCCGGGCTCTCCTGACCATGGGCAGCATGTGAAGGGTCACTTCGATCAGTCCCACCAGGTTCACATTGATCACCTTCACAAAGTCCTCCTTGGTCAGCCATTCGTTGGGGCCACTGGGCAGGCCCACACCAGCATTGTTCACCAGGGCCCAGAGGCCTGGGGGCAAGACGGAGAACCACACAGAAATCAGCAATGGGCCTGGGAAAGAACCAAGCTCTGCTCCCCACCGGCTCAGGGCCCTCAAGGATGGTTGAGCAGGTGCATAAGACATAACACAGTCAGGTTATAACATAAAACAAAAGTGTGCCTTTTACTAATTAGTTTTCCCCAAAGGGACAATTTTTCCTGATTCACGTAAAATCTGCCAGCTAGCTGGGGCTCTGTACCAGCTATAATCTAGGTGCTTAGCTCACAGTATTTCAGCTATCAGTTCTGGGATAAGAGTTTCATTTTTATACCAGTGAATTAATGTTTGGATCCTTCCCCATCCTGCTTCACCCTCTCTATTCACTTAAGTATAACCAACCGCATTTCACATACTACCAAAATCAGTCCGTTCATTCATTCATCTTCACACGTGTATTCATGCATGCATCTAGTAGGTGGCAATTACAGGGTGAAGGAAGCCAGGTGTAGTGGCTTACACCTGTAATCACAACCCTTTAGGAGGATCACTTGAGTTCAGGATTAGAGACCAGCCTGAGCAACAGAGTGAAAGCCCCGTTTCTCCAAAAAAAAAAAAAAAAAAAAAAGGTATGGTGGTGCATGCCTGTAGTCCTAGCTACTTGAAAGGCTGAGAGGCCTTTCCCAGGCATGAGCTCTACTACTTTGGGGTGAAGGTCAGCATCATTGAGCCGGGGAACTACCGGACAGCCACTCTGGGCAAGGAGGGCATGGAGTCACGCCTGCGAAAACTTTGGGAGAGGCTACCTCAGGAGACCCGGGACAGCTATGGTGAGGAGTACTTCTGCATCTGTAAGTTCCTGGGGCTGGAGAGGGTCTCTGAGGGGAGCGGGTTGGTCTTGGGGTCACTGGCTGGCTTTCCATTTATAGATGGTGAGACAAAACTCAGTTGAGCCCAGATTAGAGGTTACCTTGTTCAAAATTACACTGAGCTATGATGGTGCCACTGTACTCTAGCCTGGGTGAGAGAGTGAGACCTTGTCTCTAAAAATAAAATAAAATAAAATAAAATAAAATAAAATAAAATAAAATAAAATAAAATACAGGGTAAAGGAGATGCAAAATGAGCAAAACAGCATCTTACCCCTGAAGGAACTCACAAGCCAGAAAGGAAATAATACTGTTTATAAATAAACACATAAAATATTTAAATAAAATTTGTATGGAAAATGTGATGAGGACTGAGATATTTGCATTGGGTTGGTACCCATGGAAAGAAATAATGCTAAGTGTTGCCATTCAACTCTGCAGGGGACCAGGGTTAAAGAGTTTTATGTCTGGTCCTGGTTTTACTTCCAGCCTTAGACAAGTCACTTCCCTCTCTGGGCCTCAGGTTCTTCATCCATTGGACTGCAACAGTTGTTTCCAGGCTGTATTTTGCAAGCCTGAGAGGAGGAGGAAAATGCAGGAGAAGCTCTCCTTTTCATTTGTTTTACATATTGGACTTCCAAAAAATTCCACCAGAGGGAGGGTGATACAAAGGATACACTGGAAACTCCTCTAAATGCTCCTCAAGGGCCCCTTCCGGCTCCGTGCAAGAGTTCCCCGAGCCCTACTGCTCTGGTGATTCTCCCCACAGTCCCAGCCTCTGCAGCCTCCAGATACTCTGCAGGCACATCCCACTGTCTCCTGAAGGCAGGTCTCCACGCAAACAAATTCTAGTCCACCCTTTCGCCTAGGTCTGGGGTCCCCACCCAAGTCATGCCCCTACCCAATCTCCCTGTCTTTCTCTATCCAGGAGCAATGAGGAGCATGCAAGAACTTCATCTCCCACCCCCCTACCCACCCCAGTTCTCAGTTTTTCTTAGATCAGGATATTGCCCAGTGGCCTAGGCAGAATAATGGTCCCTCGAAGACGTCTCCATTCTCATTATCTCTGGAACCCGTGAATCTGCTGGGTTACATGGGAAAGGGGAATTAAGGTTGCAGGTGGAATGGAGGTTGCTAATCAATTGTCCTTAATGTTAGGGAGGAAGCTAATACAGGGAAATTATCCTAGATTAACCTGGTGAGCCCAGTATAATCACGAGTCCTTCTAAGTGGAAGAAGGAAGCAGAAACCAGAGAATCAGAGAGACTGAGAGAAGGGTGAAAAATACTGGCCCCAACCTTGTGGGCCTTGAAGATGGAGGTAGCGGGCCAGGAGACAGGGGATGTCAGCTGCCTCTGGAAGCTGGAAAAGGCAATGAGACGAAGTCTCCTCCAGAGCCTCCAGAAGGAACACAGCTCTGCTGACTTTGATTTTGATCAGCGAGACCCATTTGGGGCATCTCTCCTCCAGAACTAGAGGATAATACGTTTGTATTGTCTTCAGACCCTACCTTTGAGTTATTTGTTACAGCAGCAACAGGAAACTAACATGCTAAGTGAGGCATTAAGGCAAGTCACTCAAGTGACTGCAGGGAACTGGCTGAGACAGCCTGCTGAAGACAGAGGCTCACTCTTGCTGAATTATTAATTAATTAGCTCATTCAAAAACTTCGTATTGAGTTACCTTACTAGGTGCCAGACGTTATTCTAGGTATTAAGGACATGCAGTCAATAAAAGAGACAAAAATCCTTCCCAGGAAGCTTTATTCTAGCAGAGGAACAGACAATAAATAAGTAAAATCTGCTGTACTTTGAATAGTGATGAGTGCTAAGGAGAAAAATCAAGCAGGGAGTTACTGTCAGACTCCCCCCCAGGACTCTGCTGCCCTGACCTGTACATGGGCTCCAGACTAGCTCCTTCAGGAGGGAGGACTTCCTTTGGGCTGCTGCTTCTGCAACCCAGCCATCTTGTTCATCCTGTTTCTGTGCCCACACCCTGTGCGCTGGACGTGCGTGAGGCAGGTCCCCACACAGTCCTGGGCCAGCCCCAGTCCACAGCTTCCTTTCCCGATAGGAGCAGCCACTCTGACATACTTGCCCTGAAGTCAAACCAACACCCACCATGATGTCAAGAACTGCCTGACACAGTCAAAGAGAGAAAACGCACCCACTCATGGGATCCAACCTCCTGTCTCATTCCACCTCTCCCTATCCTGATCCCAACAAGCAATGTACTTGTATTTCCCCAGGAGCTGATGGTTAGGACTGCTGAAGCTTCGGAGAGGCACATCCGTTTTTCAAGGTTTGGACACACGGAACACATCTTCCCCCATCACTTCCTGTTGAGACCTCTTTCCTGTCTCTCTGAGTTTCCAGGACAGAAAACTTCCTTGGGAAATCACCCCTTCATGTGAACAGGCCAAACCATGCAGCGGCTTCCAATCAGATTGAGGCAGGGCCCTTTCCCTGTGTCACCTCTCCCACCCCATCTGGACATCAGGGTCTCTGATACTGTCAGATGCTTTGGGAGAGAGAAAGAGAAAGAAAGAGAAAACCAAGAAAGCCAAAGTGCAGTTCGCCCCACCTTGCTCGCCCACTTGGTCCCTCACCCACTGGGCCGCCGCCTTGATGCTTTCACTTTTGGTGACGTCCAGCAGGGTGGTCTGCAGCCGACAGGAGGTATCCTGCTGAAGTTTCTGGGCTCCCTCCTCAGTGAAGCAAGCAGCCAGCACCTGCATGCCCCGATCAACCAGCTGTTTGGCCAGCAGGTTCCCGAAGCCAGAGTCACAGCCTGTGATGAAGACATACTTCTCTGAGAGATTGCTGACCAGATTGCAGTTCTTGAACCAGCGGTACATAAACGAGAGGTCCGTGAGGGCCGCCATAGGGCAGGATCAATGTGATGGCCAAGAGGGACTGGGCTCAGGAGACAGCAGGGAAGAAGCTGGTTCTCTGAGCCTTAGCCGGCAGTCTGCGGGAACCCACCAGGAAGAAGAGCTCTCCTCCCTCCCGAAGCTTGCCACAAATCTAGGTCCCTGGATGAGCCACGCTGTAATTTTTATAGGTGGATGCATCACCACAGCAATTAGCCCAGATGCAGGAAATTCAAGTCCAACCTGAAGCCTTGTCACCTCTGACAGCCCTGGTGGCTGCCTCCCTCTCTCCTCCTGCCCTGATGGGTGAAGGTGACAAGAATGGAAAAGAATCCACTGGCAATGTTGGTGATGAGTGGTGGCACACTCAGGCAGTGTAAGGGAGGCAAATGAAAGAGGAGGACTCACCCCAGACAGCTCCCCTAGAAACCTTGCCCCCACAGTGCCCCCAACCCTGCCTGGGAATTTTGGTTCCCAGGGGTCAGAATCATTTGTCCTGAGTGCAGGTATGTAAGTAAGTTTAAGTTTTATTTTCAGGGAAAATGCTCAAGATGAATTCATTAATGCAAAACAAACAACATTGGTTCTGTGCGTTCCAAACCTCAAGAGAAACAATATGTGGTCAGCTCTTTGGAATTCTTAGGTAAGTCTCCATCACGAGAGAGGATGAAAAGCAATAGATTTCTCCCAGCGTGGATGTATCTCCATTGTTCTGAGGCCACAGGCAGCAGGGCCATTCTATAGGGGAGGCTGGTCATGTGAAGCCCAGCTACCAGAAAGCAGAAAGACCTGGGGCAGTCAGGCCTGATGCCCTAGGGAAGGGGCAGTGATACGCAGGTCACCAGTGAGCAGCCGCAGGCCAGATGAATGAGGAGGGATTATGAGTTCACTGGGCAGCTGAGGGAAGGGTCTGGCAGAGGCCTTGGCTTTGAGAGGGGATGAGATAAAGGAGGAGCAGAGAACTGGGGCCAGACACATAGAAAATTCTCAGGGTCGGGACTTGGAGGAGAAGGAGAGATTCCAGGCAATTTAGCAAATAATTTGCAGAAAGCTAAGAGGAAAGGTGGTAAAGGAAAGAAAATTAGGAAACCAGAGGTGTGAGTAGTGATGGAATTGCTTAAGATGCAGGGACAGAATGATGCTGGAGCCACCGGCGGTTCTTTGGATCGACATCTAGGGTCCCCATTCCTTGGGATGAGCCTGGTCCCAGCTCACACCTTCGTGGCTTAGAGAGCCTGACACAGAAACGGGACCACAAAGTTCTCTAGCATGAAGGGACAAAGGATGTATCTCTGTGATCCACCATTTGCCAAGTCTGACCAGCACAGGATCAGATAAAGCAGGTGTTACCTTGGAGAGCCCCACTGGGTTTGGCCATTCCTTACCAAGAGACGGGAGGAAGCCGGATTATGAACACACCCCGAAGAGCAGACCCAAAGCTTAGAGGGGATGGAAGTGGGAAATGGTAGAAAGCAAACTGCACCTACTTCATACCACCCCAAGGCAGAACACCTCCTATGTGGGATCTGGGAAGCATCTCCCAGGCTCTGTCTGCCTCCTGGGTGCGTGAACAGAGAAGTCTTGGCTTGGCAAGTTCATACCACGTCACTCAAAGGCTGAGCAGGCCCAGGGCAGTGGGTATCCCAGTTCTTGAGGACATAGGTGAGGTCCAGGAGTTGGCTCTGAACCTAAAATGAGGATAACTCAGAGCTGCCCCAGCACAGGCCTGGCCCTGACTCAGCACCTCCGGGGCCTCTATGCTGGCAGTGTTGCTCTGGCCTAAACTGAACACACAGGCCATGAGCGTCGGGGGAGTGAGTGCTGTAGGACCACATAGAACGCTCTTCCTCCCAGAGCTAGAAATGCATCCCTCTCTCAGATGACAGGTCTGCCTGCCGAGCTGGCCCCTAAGGCCTGATAGGTCACCCTGGTAGCTGCGCTCCGCATCCCCACCCCATGCACACAGGTGTCTCAGTGGAGAGGAGCTCTCTCCTCTGCCAGGCCATTTCCCTCTGGTGGGAGGGCATAGACTGGCAAGGGCCAAGGCACACCCTGATGAGGTGGACAGGAGGAAGAGCAGGTTTGGGCTCACCCACCCCCAGTTGCTCAAGACCTTCAACAAATGTGCATTCTTCAGGGTGACAGGTGGGCCATGAGGCTCAGAACCCAAGGAAGTGGGAAGCCATTATCTGTGACTGGGTCTTCCTTCCTAAGCAGCAAAACCTGGTTCTTTTCTCCTAAAATCACCAGGGTCCTGAATAATGTCTCAGGAAAAACCTAGAACAGAGGTGAGGGAAGTGAGGTACAAGACCTTGAACCTGAGACCTCCCACCCACCACTCTATTTCTCTGAAACAGCACCCCTCCCACGTGCCACGACGTTAAAGTGAGGGCCAGTCACTGAGTGCCACAAAGAGGTTGCTGGAGAGAAGAAGACTCGGGTGCCCCAGAGAAGAGATCTGGGGCCTGCCAGTGCCTTAGTGACATGCCATGGCTTCCTTGTACCTCTGTCCACTCCTGTGACCCCAGGCTACTTGACTCGTTCCTAGAAAGGAAACAATTACCTCTCACCTTGGTGGCAGAAAGGTGAGAACACAGAGGGCTGAGACAGGGCAGGGATAATCCAACTTCTCTCTTCAGTTTTCTTCTCAGTTCGTCCCTCCCCTCCCCAACTCCCATGAAGGCACCTGCCTCTTCTTCCCTCAGGTTCACAGCCCATGCTCCCCTCTGACTAGAAAGCAACTTGCTGCACATGGCTGCCCTTTTCAGCTTTTACTCTAGAACAAAAGTAACCAAAGAAACCCATGGTTTCGAGAGAGTCAAAAATTGGTTTCTGTTCCTCTTTCAGAATCCCTATGGAGGACACCATTGCCAGCCAATGCCCCCAGAGCTGACATTGAGGTCTAGGGGTCAGACTGATGGCTGCCCTGTCACCCCCCACCATGTCCACAGGTATATTCAGAGGAGCCCCCTCCCCGATTTTCTCCAGGCCATTTCCGTCACGGGGAGCGTGTAATAGACTGGACAGGTTGAGGCGTACCTGGGGAAGGAGCAGGAAGCAGAGAAGGCGTGGGCTGCAGATCCCTCCCCTGGTCACACCCTCCCCTTGTGTAGACACCTCAGAATTGGCCAACAGACTCCAAGACAACAGGGCATCTATGAATAATTCCGGATCCCATTCTTTAGCAGAACACCTGGGTTCTTTCCTCCTAATATTGCCAGTCCTGTGATATCTCGGAGGAATCCTGTGGAGGGCAAGAGGAAGAAGGTGGGGAAGGCATCCAGATGACATGAGTGCTCCCTCCCACCACGCCATTACTCTCTCCAGGACACATCACCTCTCCCAGGTCACCTAGCTCCTCCCAAGCATGCAGCCCAGTCTTGGCCTCACAGGGGCTTACTGGCATCTCAGCCAAATAAGTAGTGAGTGCTCCAAGCGGTGGGTCACCAAGGATAGATTCGTACCGCATTTTGCCCAAAGGCTTCTAGATGCTTTTCTGATGTCTGTTCAGGATGAGAAAAGATCCTTAATGTACTAGCACATTTCTCCCCTCCCATTTAGACCTCTGAATTAGGAGGAGAGTGTCTAAGAATCCCTGGACCCCCAGTGATATGCCTCAAGTCTAATCCATCCATATTCCCAAGGGAGTGCCTCAACCTTTACCCCAGGACCACCTGTTCTACTGTAAGCCCCCTCTGCCTCTCTTTTTGAGATATCTGGACTCATAAATGGAAGGTCTCTGCTGATAGCCTGAGAATATGAAAATCAGTTATCTCTAAACCCAGCCGCCCATCTCTAAACCCTGCTATCCACCATCTCTGACTTTAGTTTCCTCCTCAAAATAATGAGGGGCTCAGATAAGCCAGTGGTCCAAATTACAGGAAGCTGGGATGCTTCCTTTAGGTGACCGGTTCACCACATGGCTAAATGGGCTAAATGTCCTCACTTTGTTGGGGAGGCAGAGTCTGGAGGACAGATTCTCAGACTGTTGGAGGCACTCATGATGGACCCAGACTTCCAGACAAGGGTTTGTTTCTCTCCCCAGTGTCCACAGCTGACTCATAGGCTGTCAGAAACTTCTCCCCGTAGGTCTTCTTGACCTCGGCGATGACCAGGTGTGATACCTCCTTGAGGTTCTGTAAATGCCTCTCAGAGCTAGCTGCTCCTATTGGTCTTGAAGTAACAGAGTTCGATCACAGCCACCTTCATACCAAGCTGGGAAAGCTCCCTCCTGCAAGGCAGACGTGCGGAAGGGCAAGGACTTCAGAGGTGACGGGAGGCAAAACGGCAAACAAAGAAACCCAGCACAAACCCAGCACACAATGGCAGTGAGAGACGCTAGAAAGCTTGAAGAGTTGGGAAGGGCAGCAGATAGCAGATAAAAGTTATGATGGCGGCTTTGCCTCGGTATAGGGTTTCCATATTTTATGTACTGGAGCATACTAGCCCTAAATCCCACCTATTCAAGAGCAAGGCAGCATCTCCATGCTGTCACCTCCTATGCCCCTCACAGCCAATGGATCACCGGAATTCCCACATTCTATCTCCTCTGCTCCTTCCCTTCTTCTCCTGCCCCAAGAATCTCCCTGGCGTCCGAGCTGGGCGACGGCAGCTTTCCTCTAAGGAGCACCCCTCTGCCTTCAGCCTGGCTGCGCACACTCACAGCCACTGGGCTCACTGTAGTCAGTGGGTTTCTAGAAGCCGATTAGACCAAGGAGCTCCCCTAAGCAAATCCCTTTTTTGGGGGTTCCACTGCCAACGGCATGAGGCACAGCTCCTGTCTAGGGCCCCATGAGCCCATGTGCACCGACCTGCCCAGCTCCCCCACAGGCCTGGCCCTGTGCTTCACCCCATGAGGACCCCACAGCACAGGCACGTGGCTCACGCTCCCCCTGGACCTGAGCTGAAGACACAAGTCATTCTCCCATTTCTGTTCAAGGCTGCCAGGTGGGGATCCTTAGTCTCCAGCTCAGACCCCATCTCCAGGATCCTCCCCAACTCGGGAGGCTGCCATGGCCAGCAGGGCTGACTGGGTCACAACCCCTGTGAGAATTGGCAACAAGGATTCTGGCTCTCTTTCCCCTCTCTCAGCTGTCAGAGGTTTTAGGTCAGGGCCAAAATCTTGTTGTTGTGCTAGGCTGAGTTTATTGGGCACTCCC